TTTTTCTTAGCAAATTATCTTTCCAAAGCATTCATCTTAGTTTTCTTAGACATGACAGTTTTTCAACTTGTGTCTAATTAGATGACATGATATTCAGTTTAATTCATTTATTATTTAATCCATTTAATTGATACATCCTGAGTAATATCACAGCTGACATATAGAGATTTGGGAACAAACCCAAAGCACTGTTGGTGAGTATCAGCACATTCTGCAGAGAAGTGTGGGGTGCGGGGTGTGCACTGGGGCAGCCGGAGCCCCAGAGTGCTTAGCTGAGAGAATGGGCATTGCCCACGATTCGGGAGGTAGTTAAGTGGGGATCAACTGAAAGTTCTTTTCTTGAACAAAGCGTGATGCGAGGTTCTGTGAGAAATAGAGACAAATGTGAGACTCAGACTATCCTAACACACTCCCTTCTCTCTTATGAGGGACAGAGAGCGGCTGACCGATTCAGGAAGGTGTGGAGTGCGACTGCTTGATGGGACAGGCTGTCCAGGTCAGAGTCTAGCAGGGCCAGCCTGGTGGTGCAGTGGCTGTGCCCTGTTCTGTGATGCTGGAGCCACATGGACATCCCGAAACATCCCTGGACATGCTGGGCGCTTGCATGTGTCCCTGTGATCTGTGTTGGCTAAGCCGGGGGCTGGATAGCCTGAAGACCTTGCTGGGAACGCCTCTCTGGAAAAAAATTAATAAACTAACTTAAAAAAAAAAAAAGTGTAGTGGGGCCATGGTAGTGTGGTGATTAAAGCACTCAGTTCCCACATGGCCAACTGTGGTTTGAGTCCCGAATGGCAGCTTGCTTTCTTACCTTCCCTTTCTCTCTCCTTCTGTCTCTTCCCTATACCAAATTAAAATAATAATAATAATAAGTGAAATTAGGGACCAGCAGATGGCATAATAGTTACGTTGCTGGACTCCCATGTAGCCAACCGCAGTTCAAGTCCCGGACACAGCGGTTTAAAACTCACGCCATGTGTGTGTGCGTGCATGCCCAAAATCCTGAGAGGAGAAGGGAGGTGAAGGGATTGCGGCATGGTTGTTCCCCCCGGGGGTTGGGGGGGGGTGATTTCTCACTTGCTGTCTTTCTGTCTCTGACTTTCTGGCAAGCACATGTGCCCTACAGCAAAAATCTCTCTAAAAAGAAAAAAGAAAAAAAGAAGTGTAGCCGATCACTCCAGGACTCAGCCACATCCTTTTGGGCTCTTCATTGCAGACTGGTCCCAACAATCACTGGCATCTCTTTAACACTGCTCACTCCCCTCCCCGCCCATTAACTGCAAATGCCCGGCAACAGCTAGAGCATTCATGCCCCTGGGTGCAAGGGTACACACTTTAGCATCATGACCCTGGGGTGTACAGTCTACACCACTTTCCAGAGCTGCCCTGCAGGGTCAAGCTCTAGGGGCCTGCAGTAGTTGCTGACTCAATAACACTATCTAGAAGGCTCTTTCCCATCCCTGCCTCACTTCCCAACTTCCCTAGAGATGTTTCTCGGTTTCAACTTCCAAATAAACTACTTGCATACAAATTCTTATCACACTGAGCGACACTAACCTAAGGCAAAGTATCAACCAGATTGACTTGCGTTGATCAAGGCTACGGGCCTGAAATCAGGCGGCTTACTTGAGTGCATTATTTCACTCGTCATCATGACAATTCCACAAGTGGCGACTGCTATTATTATGGTCTGATAAAAAGCTTAGGCTCACAGCAGCAGGTGGCATGGTGGTTGAGGTGCTGGACTCCCCCATGGCTAACCTCAGTTCGAGTTCCAGACCTGGTGATTTCCTTCCTCTTTCTCCCTCTCTCTGCCTCTCTCTGGTCAAATTAAAAAGAAAAATAAGAATAATGATAAGTAAAATTTAAAATTCTTAAATAAAATGCTGAGCTCAGAGAGGTTGTCATTTGTTCAACTACGCATAGCTAAAGAGGGGCAGACATCACAGAGATTGGATAAACAGACTGCATGCGATATACAGACATACGTAAGATTGATAACATTCAGACCGTAACAGGAACTCGAGTGCTGATACATGCTACAATGTGGAGGGCCCTCAAAGACTTCATATGAAGTAAAACTTCAACACAAAGGTTTACAAGTCTCATTCCATTTATGTGAAAAATTCTCTTTTTTTTGGAAGAGGTTTTTGCTATAGAGTGCGTGCGCTCGCCAGACAGAGAGAGACAGAGAGACAGAGAGCAAGAAATCACCCCCCAGGGGGGATGGCCACGCCGCAATCTCTTCTCCTCCGTTCTCCTCTCGGGATCTTGGGCATGCACGCACACGCGCCCGGCTTGAGTTTTAAGCCACCGAGTCTGGTATGCGAACCGTGGTCGACTACATGGGAGTCCAGCGACATAGCCATTACGCTAACTGCTGGTCCCGTATATGAAAGATTCTAGACAGATCAATTGATATGGGATGAATGACCCTGGCTGGGTAAGGGGATTTACCCTGGAATAATGGAAATTTTTCAGAACTGAATGGAAGTGGTGGTTACAAACCATTGTAAATATACTAGATGTTCTGAGTTGTTCACTTTAAAATGGTTCATTTGGGGACCAGCTCCACAGCCTAGTGGTTAAGAGAAACAGATCCCACAGCCAACTGCATAGTCAAGTCCCAGCCCCAGCAGTTTGAAAAACACACAGGGCATGTGCACACATGTGTCTGAAATCAGGACAGAACCGGTGAAGAGAGGAAAAGGCATCGTGGCACGACCAGGCTCCATGGGGGTGGGGAAGGGGTTGCTTTCTCCCTCTCCCTCTCTGTCTCTCTGTCTCTCTCTTTTAAATTATTAAAAAGGCTAATTTTATAATATGTAAATTTTTCACTTACTAAACTTTTTGCTTGTTTGTTTGTTTGGTAGGTAACAGAGTTGCAAATTCAAACCAGGTAACTATTTTTTCTTGTTTTGTTTTGTTTTTCAGTTTTCCTAGAAGGCACATGTGCTGAGTGGGAGAGACAGAAAGGGAAAGTGAGAAAGTACCTCTCCCCCCATGGGGCATGGTCACACTGTAATCCTTCTCCAATTCTCCCTCTCTGGGGGATCTTGGCATGCATGCACATGCACCTGGCCTGTTTTTTTCAGGCCTCGAACTACACAGTTGGCCATGTGGGACCCAACCGCAACCGCCTTAACCACCAAGTGACTCTGATCAAGCAATCCTCACGTCAGTGTTTCCCCAAGTGGTGGCATGGTGGTTGAGGTGCTGGACTCCCCCATGGCTAACCTCAGTTCGAGTTCCAGACCTGGTGATTTCCTTCCTCTTTCTCCCTCTCTCTGCCTCTCTCTGGTCAAATTAAAAAGAAAAATAAGAATAATGATAAGTAAAATTTAAAATTCTTAAATAAAATGCTGAGCTCAGAGAGGTTGTCATTTGTTCAACTACGCATAGCTAAAGAGGGGCAGACATCACAGAGATTGGATAAACAGACTGCATGCGATATACAGACATACGTAAGATTGATAACATTCAGACCGTAACAGGAACTCGAGTGCTGATACATGCTACAATGTGGAGGGCCCTCAAAGACTTCATATGAAGTAAAACTTCAACACAAAGGTTTACAAGTCTCATTCCATTTATGTGAAAAATTCTCTTTTTTTTGGAAGAGGTTTTTGCTATAGAGTGCGTGCGCTCGCCAGACAGAGAGAGACAGAGAGACAGAGAGCAAGAAATCACCCCCCAGGGGGGATGGCCACGCCGCAATCTCTTCTCCTCCGTTCTCCTCTCGGGATCTTGGGCATGCACGCACACGCGCCCGGCTTGAGTTTTAAGCCACCGAGTCTGGTATGCGAACCGTGGTCGACTACATGGGAGTCCAGCGACATAGCCATTACGCTAACTGCTGGTCCCGTATATGAAAGATTCTAGACAGATCAATTGATATGGGATGAATGACCCTGGCTGGGTAAGGGGATTTACCCTGGAATAATGGAAATTTTTCAGAACTGAATGGAAGTGGTGGTTACAAACCATTGTAAATATACTAGATGTTCTGAGTTGTTCACTTTAAAATGGTTCATTTGGGGACCAGCTCCACAGCCTAGTGGTTAAGAGAAACAGATCCCACAGCCAACTGCATAGTCAAGTCCCAGCCCCAGCAGTTTGAAAAACACACAGGGCATGTGCACACATGTGTCTGAAATCAGGACAGAACCGGTGAAGAGAGGAAAAGGCATCGTGGCACGACCAGGCTCCATGGGGGTGGGGAAGGGGTTGCTTTCTCCCTCTCCCTCTCTGTCTCTCTGTCTCTCTCTTTTAAATTATTAAAAAGGCTAATTTTATAATATGTAAATTTTTCACTTACTAAACTTTTTGCTTGTTTGTTTGTTTGGTAGGTAACAGAGTTGCAAATTCAAACCAGGTAACTATTTTTTCTTGTTTTGTTTTGTTTTTCAGTTTTCCTAGAAGGCACATGTGCTGAGTGGGAGAGACAGAAAGGGAAAGTGAGAAAGTACCTCTCCCCCCATGGGGCATGGTCACACTGTAATCCTTCTCCAATTCTCCCTCTCTGGGGGATCTTGGCATGCATGCACATGCACCTGGCCTGTTTTTTTCAGGCCTCGAACTACACAGTTGGCCATGTGGGACCCAACCGCAACCGCCTTAACCACCAAGTGACTCTGATCAAGCAATCCTCACGTCAGTGTTTCCCCAAGTGTGGTCCTAGGCCAGCAGCAGCAGTACCTGGGAACCAGGCCCTGAAACTCAGGAGGTGGACCCAGCAGGTGTGCTTTCACAAACCCTCTGGGGGATGCAGGTAGGTGAAGTCCAAAGGCCACTGCCTTGTCCCCTGTGGGCTCCAAATTCAGAACGAGTCTCATGCTCAGCAATATCAGTCAGTCTCAATCCAAACGGTCCACATGAAAATGAACTAGCTTCTGGAGTCACTGAAACTAGGGCTTCAGGGACTTGCCTGGGTGTGTGTGGGCTGGGGGGGGGTGGGTCCAGTATAAGGCATCCCCAAACTCTGCCTCCCGCTTGGGGTCAGGATGCCCTTTCTTTCAAGGTGTGTGGAAGCCCACAGAGCACAAGCCCAAGAGTTGGCCACTGCCGCCCTGGCACGGGAGGCGGCTTTGGCAGGCCGGGCATATCCATCTTCATCTGATGTCAGGAAGCGTGGGTGGGACAGGGCGCCTGCTCACCAGACCAGCTGAGACCAAACCAGCAAATGTTTCCCCAAGATAAAACAGGAGGAGATTTGAGGACCGTGCCAGAAATAAATCTCCTAAATTTCCCCAGGCTCCACTGAGTTCCAAATCTGTCCCTTTTCAGCAGCACAAAAGCAAACCCAGTGAATTTACTAAGGGACGCAGCTAAGTATAGAATCAAAATCATGTTCCTTTTTATACGGGGATTCAGAATTCTAGTTCAAAAACAGGGGCAAAATTTTTGACGGCAGTTGTTCATGTTAAAAACAAATTTCAAAATCACAAAAACAACAACACAAAATTCCAGTGAAACAGCTGAAATAGCCTAACAGAAACATTAGTATCTGAAGATGTTAATGGGAATGCATGGGAGGGGAAAAAAAAGAGCTGTGGCCAATTGAACTCAAACTCTCAAACTGGAGCAATGGGATTCCTTCCACCACCTTCAGGAGACCCACAAAGCACATCAGCATAATAAAGGCTCTGAAAAGTCCCGCTGCACAAAACCCAGCTCAAAGGCATGCAGCCCAAGCTGCCACACACCCCAAACTTATCTAAGGGGTGACAGAGCACAGCAGTTAAATGCAAACTCTGCAGCCAATAACTGAGTTCATGTCCCGATTCAGACACTGGGCGTGTGATCGCAGGGCAGCGAGGCACTCCCCCTGTGCTGCCATGTCTTTACTGAGAGATGAAGGAAAAAGCCCACTGAATTCATAGAGATATTAGGTACAACAGTCGCGTTAATAAAGATAAAGTAAGGACCGGCAGATAGGGTAGATAGGGTAATGGTTATGTCACTGGACTCTCACGTAGTCAACTGCAGTTCGAGTCCTGGACCCGGCAGGCACATGTGCAGGCCTGCCCAAGATCCTGAAAGGAGAATGGAGGAGAAGGGACTGTGGCATGGCCATCCCCCCGGAAAGTGATTTCTCACTTTTTCTCTGTGTCTCTGGTGAGCAGGCACACCCTATAGCAAAAACCTCTCTCAAAAAAAAAAGATAAAGCAAACACAACAGTGCCTGACACCACTTAGTACACAGTCCCTGAGGGTCAGATGTTACCTTTTTTTTTTTTGGAGAGATTTTTGCTATAGGGCGCGTGCGCTCGCCAGACAGACAGAGAGAGACATAGAGACAGAAAGCGAGAAATCACCCCCCAGGGGGGATGGTCACTCCGCAATCCCTTCTCCTCCATTCTCCTCTCGGGATCTTGGGCACACACGCACACGCGCCCGGCGTGAGTTCTAAGCCACCAGGTCCGGGACGCGAACCACGGTCGACTACGTGGGAGTCCAGCGACATAGCCATTACGCTAACTGCTGGTTCCCAGATGTTACCTTTTTTAAAAAAATTATTTAATTGGTTTTAATATAATATCTTACACAACTCTAGTTCCACTGGACACCATTTCGGAAAATTAAGAGAGAATAACTCACTTTGGTCTAGAATGGAAAGAAAAGGACAGTGAGCTTTCCTGGCGAACAGGAAACACCTTAGATCCAACCCACCCGGGAAGAGCGCGTTCATGATTCTGTCAGGAGCGCCTTGCCTATGCTCCTGTTCTCCCTGTGTTCCACAGAAGATGCATCAGGGTGTAGATCCCTTTGGAATGGACTTTCTGAGGCCAGGCGGTAGTGCAGCTGTGGGAAGCGACACGTGGGAAGCTCAAGTCCAGAGACCTCCCTGAGTACTCCAAGCACATGTGCACACCTAAGATCATGGGCTAGACAAAGACTGGGGATGGATCATGGCATCAAGACCCTTGAAGGGGGACCAGCAGTTAGCGTAATGGCTATGTCGCTGGACTCCCATGTACTCAACCGCGGTTTGTGTCCCAGACCCGGTGGCTTAAAACTCACCCCGGGCACGTGTGCGTGTGTGCGTGCCCAAGATCCCGAGAGGAGAATGGAGGAGAAGGGATTGCGGCATGGCCATCCCCCTGGGGGGTGATTTCTTGCTTTCTGTCTCTCTGTGTGTCTCTGTCTTTCTGGCGAGCGCACACGCCCTATAGCGAAAACCTTTCCAAAAAAAGAAAAAAGAAAAAAAGACCCTTGTAGGATTCATGTATCCGTCTGGGTGTCTCTCATTCATAAAAGATATTTTTAAAGCTTTTTCTTAAATAAACAACAACAACAAAAACGCATTTTCAATAAAGATTTTGACTCTAACCCATTAGGCCTAAGAGGAGGCAGCCAGGTGTAAAGTCTGTCCATCACCCACATGATTGGATGGACTCCCAGAACCCCGGCAGCCACACAGAGGGAGAGTCTGGTCCTTAGCCTGGTAACAGGAAATCCGACCCAGAGGAGGAGAAACTTCAAAGTTCTGATCAAAGGCTCCATTGCAAGGGGCCAGAGGGAACCATGCCATGTCAGCAACTACCCGGAACAGTTCAGAGCCTCTTCCCTCTCCTCAGACCTCAAGGCCCATAATTCAGTCTCTCTTTTTTTTTTTTTTTCTTTTCTATTATCTTTTTTTATTATTATTAATTTTTGCTAGAAAAAGTGTTTACTCACCAGAGCGTAACAGGGAAGAGGCAAGAGAAAGGAAAAAAGCATCTTCCATGGATGAGACTCATACTACAATCCCTTCTCCTCCTCCCCCCTCTTGAGTTTTTGGGTGCACACACATGTACTTGTGTCCGGCATGTTTTTCAAGCCACCAGGTCTAGGACTTGAACCTCTCAGTTGGCCATGTGGGATCCAGTGCCTTAACGAGTTGGCCCTCGGTTTCTAATCTTACAAATTTTTTCCCCTGAAAAACGCTGCCTCTAAAATAGAGAAAAACCAAACGTAGTGATTTTTCCCAATTCTGTAGCCTCGGGGCAGGGGGGGGGGTTAATACTGTTGAGTCCCTGATGAGGCTCACCAACATCTTCAAGTTTACTCACGAAATACCCACTGAACTTTTACTAGGTGCAAATCGCCATCCTAGACTGGGTTTTTTGTTTTTTTGGCTTTTTGGGGGGGGGGAAGGGAGGTTTTCGCTATAGGGTGCGTATGCTCACCAAAAAGCCAAAGAGAGACAGAGAGACAGAAAGCGAGAAATCACCTCCCAGGGATTGTGGCATGGTCATAATATCTATACCCCAATCCCATCTCCTCCATTCTCCTCTCGGGATCTTGGGCATACACGCACAAGCGCTCAGTGTAAGTTTAAGCCACAAGATCCGGGACTTGAACTGCGGTCTGCTACATGGGAATCCAGCGACATAGCCATTATGCCAACTGCTGGTCCCCCAAGACTGGGTTTGGGACAGGGAGCCATACACTCAGCTGCCTGCTTTCAGGAAGCTTTCACACTGGTGGTGACGGCCAGGAGGGGCTGGCAGGGGAGGGGGAGGCTGAGTCGTCCTTACCAAGCTGCCTATGCATGGCTCTTCATGCATCATCTCGGGGACTTTTCTCAACAGCCCTCCGCAGGCATCATGGCACTCTCCACCTGAGATGTGAACTGAGGCCCAGAGGGGTAACGCCATGTACTCAAGTCACACAGCTGGTCACAAGTGTGCTGAGTGCTTTCAGTACTCTGACTCCAGACCCCCTCCATTTACTCCCAAGCACGGTGGTCATGATTGCACGTCAATTGCTTTGGCTCTGTGTCATATACATTAAGTCACTGGGAAGGTCGTGACGGATTTTTCCATGCAAAAATGCACCATGACTTTTCTAACAATCCTATGTGTGTGTGTGTATATATATATATATACACACACACACATACATATGTACATATATGTATATGAGTGTGTGTATATATATATATATACACACACTCATATACATATATGTACATATGTATGTGTGTATGTGTATATATGTGTGTGTATATAAATATTTTTTAATTAGCTACAATGAGAGAGTGGGGAGGGAGAGAAAGTGAGAGCCCCCACCACAGCAGGAA